TCAAAATATACTGGCTGGAAAAAATCTATTTGAGAAAGTTTAATTAGTATACCATTCATGTATGGTTTTTAAAAACTATCTTAGAACGTACTATGTATTGTCATGTATACATATATATGTAGTAAAAATGTATCCGAGAAAAACTGTACAAACTTCTGAAGAAGGCTGGAAAGGGACTGTACTTTAGATGCATTTTTGTAATGTTTTCTTATTTAAACAAACAAAAAAAATCAAGCACTTGTTAGGTGCACAGATATCATCTATATAATTTTATTTTAAATATTTTCAAATAGTTCCAAAATTACAATTTAAAATAAAAATTGAAAAGGGGAAGAAAGGTAAGTTTGGATTTATGCCAAGCCAGATGCATCCATCCAGCTATTTGTTTTTCAAAATTACAAAAATTTTTTTTCAAAATTACATTTTAAATGTTCTGAATATTTTAAAGCACATTCTCTCACACTATTCACAACATACAGTTCTAACCGCAAGGGAGGAAACATACATAGATACTCAAAAAACAATCTTGTGTGTAACTCATGATTTATCTTTGACTGCTAAATAACTTGAAAATGTGGTTCTAACATTTGCTTTTTGTGTGTATATTCTAATACTGAGGATGCATTTGGTGGAGTAATCAGCTATAGTAACAACGGGATGAAAAAGATGGGGAAAACACCTTTTCATTCTAGCCTAAGCCAGTGAGTGTCGGTGGGGCAAGGATGGGATGCTAAGGGGCACATCATGAGAGTACTTTGAAAGGAATGCATCATAGTCCTTGGGAGCAATGGGATAGTCAAAGTGGTTGGGGTGGGGTGGTTGGGGTTGGGCGGGGGGGATCACTCTCTAGAGTTGAATCCTGTCCCTTAGTACGCTCATGGCTTCACAGAGGAATTGGATCCTTGCACACAGTCCTCAAAAGTGAGAAGGAGACTGACAGGCAGGAGAGGGAGTTTTAAGGGGTAGAGCCCAGAAGAATGAAAGAGCCTGGTGTTGCTGTGGTTTGAGTAGAGCTGAGCATAATAGATCGGCTAAGGAAGGCCAGAGTGCCTCCTTCAGAGGAAAGGAGCCAGCCGCCCTTTCAACACAGTGTTCCTGGGGGATTCAAAGCCATGTGCACTGCACAACACTGACCCTGTTTCCTGGCAGCTGCTGCTGAATCCAAGGATCAGTGCGTGAGGCACAGGCAGACTGATAGGGGTGCTCCCTTTCAGACTGTAACAAACACAATTAGATCCTCTCTGCTTAGGGTCTAAGAGGTCAGAGGCACAGCAGGAGAAGAGTAGACACATTAAATGGCTTCACATGAGGACACAGCAGCTGCCTAAAAGGGAAACTACCTGTAACACTCTAACAAAGGAGCTGAAAGTGGCTTTGATAGCTCACTGGGTGGGTCAAGGGAAATCTGATCCAGCCAGGTAGATAAGGCAAAGTGAGGGAAAGCCACCGTTTGGCATCATGTATGTAGAGGTTCTCAATTTTGGGACTGCAGACAAGAGAAAAGACACATGCATAATGTGAAAAATCAGGCTTCTCTTCAGAGGACAAATGCCCTGAATCTTGGGCGGTTGAAAGGCACACAAGATTTTTATGTTTGCTGTAAGGGCATCGTTTTACAAAGCTGAGTAACTAATGCAAACTAAGTTGTTTCTCTTCTATAACTTGGAATTTCATTTCCCAGCCTTCACCATGGACTGTGATATTAGACAACCCCTATTAAGCAAAAGCAAAAAGGATTGCTATAAAGTCCAATACTTTCAAATTAAAATATACCACTAATTCAAATATGCTCCAAATCAGGGATCTATGACATTTTCCTGGAAATAAACACTAAAGTTAATGAGATAATGAGAAGTAATACCTCTTCTCTCCTTTTAATTTTGTTTCTATCAAGTGCACAAACTATGAGCAAGTCTGTATTCCTTCTACAGTTTAAACTCAGTTTCACAGTTTTAAAACTGTGATTTAGTTATTTTCCTTCCAGTAAATTTAAAGTTTCAGTGACCCCCTTTCATTTCCTTCTGATCATCTCCCTTCTTTCAAGACTTCTTCCTATTGGCCAGATGTAGTGGCTCAAGTCTGTAATCCCAGCACTTTGGGAGGCAGAGGTAGGTGGATTGCTTGAGCCTAGGAGTTCAAGACCAGCCTGGACAACATGATGAAACTTTGTCTTTATGAAAAATACAAAAATTAGCTAGACGTGGTGGCATGCTCCTGTAGTCCCAACCACTTGGGAGGCTGTGGGAGATCACTTGAGCCCAGGAAGCGAGATGCAGTGAGCACCAATGCACTCCAGCCTGGGCAACAGTGAGACCCAGTCTCAAACAAACAAAAAAACCCCTGCTTCTTCCTGTCTCCTTTAAGTGACAGTTAATTTTATTTGTATTAATCTAGAACTTGCTAAAGCAACTGTGAAATTATGCCACAGAATAAACAAAAATACAAAAGACTGCTTATTTAAAAAATTCTTCCAAGCCCCTAATATGCAGATAAGCAGGAAGGTAAATAAAAACTACAATAATGACCATTATAGGTGTGGGACCACAGAAGAATGGCTCTATCTCCCGGGACATTCCTCTAAAATGAGGAGCCCCCTAGGGCTTCATGATATCCTCAGTTTGTTTCATTGTAAAACTCCATGACTGCCCTTCTGTGTCTTAACATTCAATGGAGTAGAAATGCTAAGTATAAAAAGAAAAATGGCCAGGCACAGTGACTCATGCCTGTAATCCCTGCACTTTGGGAGGCTGAGGGGGTGGATCACCTGAGGTCAGGAGTTCAAGACCAGACTGGCCAACATGGTGAAACCCCGTCTCTACTAAAAATACAAAAAATTAGACAGAAGTGGTGGCGCATGCCTGTAGTTCCAACTACTAGGGAGGCTGAGGCAACAGAATCACTTGAACCCGGGAAGTGGAGGTTGCAGTGAGCCGAGATGGCGCCACTGCACTCCAGCCTGGGCGACAAGAGTGAAACTCGGTCTCAAAACAAACAGAAAAACGTGTAGCTAAAATGATATTCAAAGCTTGAAAAACGACACATAATAATGGAATTACTGATGGGTTTTACATATGTACAGGAGAAAACTCGGACAAAAATCAAATGTGAGTAACATCAACTTGGGCATATCTGATCTGGATAGCTTTTTGTAAACTTGATTTAATTTAAGGAAACACTGCCTCTTCGCCTATTACCTATGTACTCTAAACTGTGAGTTAAAAACGTAGTTTCCCTATTCTGTATATTTCTTAAATTTCTGTATTCAGTGCTTAGTCACTGCTCAAAGTCTTCTGTTCTCACCAAGCTATCAGAGGAAAATCTATACTTTCTATTACGATGTGTTCAGAACCTCCCACATCCACTCAGATGCACACAGCTGTAATTGATACAGCATTTTCCTTCTTCTCTTTAGCAGGAAATCATCTATTTAAGAGAGGATAAATAATGAAATTATAGCTATATTTCTAGGGCTTAAGAAACATATAAGGCAAATGCTTAAGTTCTCTAACAATCATATGAAATAGTTTTCTCTATAATATTGTTATGTATAATAATAAACTCTATTAGAGTTCTCTTAAAGACATGGCTCATCAATTATGGAAAAGTAAACAGTTCACTCGGAGAAACCTGACAGCTTGCTTTGGTTTTGTCCCTTGAACACAGAGATGTGCACAGTGCTGGGGCCAGGAGTCATTCCTTCCTGTGCACTTCCCCTGCCTCCAGTCCTGAACTCTCCATCTTGGAGGCTAATTAAACTGCCTTCATTCTAGAATAGGACAGAAAAAAAAGCAAAAAAGGAGTTGTAAGCATTTCTTGGAGTGTCAAGTATAAAAGCAATGCTAGGAGCATCTACTATTCTAGTCAGAATATCTGTACCTTGGCTTATGAAACATACATAGGAGAACAAGACACAGATATCCCACAGCTGCAACACCTCTGATAATCAAATACGCCTGCACATGCCCACACTCCTGCACACCACCACATGTGGCCAGGGAGACACCATCACAGCCTGAGGCTGATGGAGAATTCATTTTGTCCCCTGAACTCTAAGATTCATGTTTATATCTCTCCTTTTCCTCCCGCATCTACCTTCTTCTTTACTACTGCTTGAAGAACTAAAACCAAAATGAAACACTATACAGGAGTGCCTGAACATTTGTTTTATACAGGGCTTAATTCTCTGGAAGAGTTAGAAATAGGTTGGTGTTGTAAGAATGAAAAATGAGTAGGCCTTCCCAGAAAAATGTACACAAACTGCTTACCACTGGAGGGCAGCTTTCCTCCCCCTTTTAGCTTTAAAGGCTATAGTGTTACCCCTTCAAAACAGGGAGAAGAGAAGGGTTGATTCTGATTTTTCTTTCATTTTTATGCTATAACATTTGCCTCTGAGATCATCAAATGTGATTTTCAACATTGCAGTGATATAAAAGAAATAACTGGGCCTGAACTCACACAGACAATTCAAAACCTAAATGCAGATCTCAACAGTCACACTCCTCTTAGCTTTTAAAAAACAACTGAGATTTGACAAGTTATCCGTTCACAGAGGGTGATGTGCCACAAAACATACCAAACACAAGTACCACCCACTTCCTTCCTCCCCTACCTTCAAACAAGAAGCAGGCATTTATTAAATGCTTAATAATAAAATGCTTTCACATGTGTTTTTCTTCACATTTCGTTCATTTTCCAATCTGTATTTTGCTTGCATAACAGTATTTCTGAAAATATTTTAATTTTGAATATCATACGAAACACAACAAAACGATCAATAACAAAGGTTTCTATTTTAGATATTCTAGAAGGCATACTTGTACAAACAATTCTGACATTTTGAAAAATCGATTTTGAAACACACTCAAAATGCATTAAGATACTTGCTTGCCCAGTTGTCTCTATACCCCGAGGGGACACCTTTCCTCATTTAGGAATACAATTTAGGACAGCAAGATGAGTGCATTTAAGTGAGAGGAAGACTGTGGTAACCTTTGACTTACCTCACAGAACATATAGAGAGACAGCAGTGTGAGTCCAAGGTTATACACCACTAAAATCCCCCGGCAAGAGAATGGCTGTTTATTCCTCATGTATTTTGGTCCCAGCCATACAATTAGTAAATATATGACAGAGCAGATAAATGTGGGTATATAATTGTCCAGAAGAAACCATCCTTTTACTCTAGTATCTGAAAAATAAAAAAAATTAATGATATATAAAAATAATCACAACTTTTCAAACGTTGAAAACATTTATCTAACCATGATGATATAAAAGTTACCTGGTATTCATGTTCCTAATTCCAATAAAGCAACCAGGAGAGAAGGCATGGATTTTCAATACATATCAAACAAGGTGAAGCTCCTTGTTACATGCTCTGAATAACAATGTATTATTCATGATTTTTGCTAAGTAAAATCATAATAAAAATATTCTTTCCAAAGAATTTAAGAAGAAAACAAGGAGAAGGCTACATTTCCCATTAACTGGATTTATTAACCAGGTTTACCAGATTACACATAGGGTAATGAAACCCAAGAAATGGCAGTCATTGAACTCCAGTCCTCCATCTCAGCCACATGTCAGTTAGCAAGTGTGGCCAGCATATGCAGACTCAGAAAACGTGCTGCTTAGCCAGGTTAGTGAAACTGGCACTAATTAGGAAGGCAGTCTTTGCTATGAGTATAATGGTCAATAGCAGAGAGGACAATGATTTAAAAACAAAACAAGGGCTGGGTGTGGTGGTTCATGCCTGTAATCCCAGCACTTTGGTAGACCGGGGAGAGCAGATTACCTGAAGTCAGGACTTCGAGACCAGCCTGGCCCACATGGCAAAACCCTGTCTCTACTAAAAATACAAAAATTAGCCAGGCATGGTGGTGCGCACCTGTAATCCCAGCTACTTGGGAGGCTGAGGTGGGAGAATCGCTTGAAATTGGGAGGCGGAGGCTGCAGTGAGCTGAGATCATATCACTGCACCCCAGCCTGGGCAACAGAGTGAGACTTCATATCAAAAATGAAAATAAAAACAAAACAAAACATGAAGGTGAAGCAGCAATGATCAGATAAGTGCCTATTTAAAGTGTAGTATTTAACAAACTGAGGAGTAGTAGCATGAGACAGAAGACCTAGGCAGATCCAGAGGAGCTACTGGTATAGGGTCTCTTCTGCCCCCATTTCTTTTCTTAGGCAGGGAGAAGGAAGAGGGAAACAGGTCAGCTGCCAGCAGCAAACTGACAACCTCTTCTTGGATGGCGGGAAACTCCTTGGCAGCCAGACCCCCTAGGTGTTATGTGTTCCCTGATTCAGCTTCGTACTCTGGCTGACCCCAGGAAGCTACCTCTGAAGCATGCTCCCCTTTGAACCCTGTTATGATGATCCCCGAAAACCTGTGGCTCCTCAATCTTAACTACCCACCAAGGCTCACAACTCCAGAGCTTGAGACACATGTAGCATTCACCTGCTATGTCTTCAGAGAAGCAGCAGTTGGGAGGACAGCCTTTGCCCTTTCTTTAATTTTTTAATTATTCATTTATTTATTTATTTTGAGACAATCTCACTCTGTCGCCCAGGCTGCAGTGCAGTGGTGTGATCTCGGCTCACTGCAACCTCTGCCTCTAGGGTTCAAGCGATTCTCCTCCAGGAGAATGTGATTCAGCCTCCAGAGTAGCTGGGACTACAGGCGCACAACACCACCCCCGGCTAATTTTTGTAATTTTAGTAGAGACCAGGTTTCACCATATTGGTCAGGCTGGTCTCGAACTCCTGAACTCAGGTGACCCACCTGCCTCGGCCTCCCAAAGTACTGGGATTACAGGAGTGAGCCCAGCTCTGCCCTTTGACCCCTCCCAGGCTGGACCATCTTGCTACTCCCTCCGGTTGTTTTTGCCTTGATTCACAGAACAAGAACAGGCTCAACAAAGCATATGTCCACATGGGGAACTGTCAGTCAGTCTTCCTTTCTTGCACTGTACACACTAAACTTACCCAGCGTTTCTCTCATGGCTTGCTTTCTTTGGCATCAGAGGGACATGTCCTCCACACCCTCCCCACTAGTTATGCTATGGTAACAGAGGCTGTTACTGTCAGTCCGGCAGAACTGGTTGTTCTTAGAAGTCATTCAGGGAAATGGCTGGCCCCAGGGACTTTAAGGGGATGCTTAACACCTTTTGTTCTCAGCTTTGGGCCTTGGCTGTCAATTTTAAGAAAACCAATTCCCACTTAGCAACTAACATGAGACTGTTACATATTTTGTATGAACATATATATCACGAACAATAAATACACACAAATCTCCCTCTTTTTTAAACTTAAACCTCTGATTTACACTTTGCTTTATTCATTTTCCCACAAATATTCATCTTTCCAAACTGGCACATATTCATCCTCCCACACTGAAGAGTGCTTCCCAGGCACCTGGTCCGAATTCCAGCCCCACGTAGAGAATCCTTAGGATCTAGTCAATCTGTGGTGGTCCTAACTCCCTCTCTGGTGACTGGTTCAGGCAGGGGCATATATAAAGCAATTGTGGCCAGTGAGTTTTGAGGGATGACAGCTGGCAAAGAGCTCTGGGAAACGGCTTCCTTATGCTTAAAACCACACAAATGAAACGTTTTTTCTTCTTCCTCTGAATGTGCTGCTTGGAGCTGCTGCAGCCATCCTACAACTGTGTGAGGTGGGGGACCCATTCTGAGGACAGAGCTGCTGATACCTGGAAGTGGCAAAGTAGAAAATGACAAGAACAAGGATCCTTGGTTACATCATACAGTCCCTGAAATAACTATGGAATTGCCCCACCTGGTAATGCAAGCTAATACTTTTCATTATTATTTTAGCCATTTAGAGTTGGATTTTTTGTCCCTTACCGCTAAAGTAAGGCAATATCTCAAACCAAGCACACACAGATGGATTTAGAACTTATTCTTTTTTGTTCAACTGGCCATACACTAATTTACATAACCTGTCCCCTACTGACAGGCATCCAGATGATTCCTTGAAAAACAATGCTGTACTGAGCATCCTGATATGCATCACTGCATAACTGATCAAGGCTAGCCATAGGATAAAGTATGAGGAGTAGAATGGCTAGGTAAAAGGACATGTGCATTTTAACTCCAACAGAAGGCAAAACAGCCTTTCAGAGAGGTTGTACCCATTTTGACTCTTTCTCCATGCCTTCACTATTACCACAGGTGGCATGAAACCTATTATTTCATCTCTGCCATACTAACAGATTAAGTCCTTTTGTTACTTCTTTTGTATTTTATTTTATTTTATTTTATTTTATTTTATTTTTTTGAGACGGAGTCTCGCTGTGTCGCCCAGGCTGGAGTGCAGTGGCCGGATCTCAGCTCACTGCAAGCTCTGCCTCCCGGGTTTTTACGCCATTCTCCTGCCTCAGCCTCCCGAGTAGCCGGGACTACAGGCGCCCGCCACCTCGCCCGGCTAGTTTTTTGTATTTTTTAGTAGAGACGGGGTTTCACCGTGTTAGCCAGGATGGTCTCGAACTCCTGACCTCGTGATCCGCCCGTCTCGGCCTCCCAAAGTGCTGGGATTACAGGCTTGAGCCACCGCGCCCGGCCTCTTTTGTATTTTAAAAATCATGAGAAACTGAGATTCTTTTTGTCTGTTTAAAAGCCATTTCTAGTTTTTCTGTGAATCTTTCTGTGAGCCTAAGAAGTTCTTTCTTACAGAAAAGACTTTAAAGACATTTACAGATGACATCAAAAGAAGGCAATATGGAGCTGATTTACTTTTTAAAAGATACAGCAAGTAAAGTTCAGGTGCATATTTACCAGTGAGTTAACACGATATGAAATGAGAAGACCTTAAAAAGCGTAAATTAAAATTGTAAAAGCGGACGAGTTTTAAACTCCTATTGCACCTCTGCATTTTGGAAATTAGTTTTTCTTAGAGACTGCCAAGAATTGAGAAAAACATGCCACCAGTAATGGTGAAATCTATAGTATTCTCCGGCTACAAGCTTTACAGCGTATTTTTAAACTCCAGTTAAAGTCAACAGAGGACCAGCCACAGCAAGTGTCTCTGTCAGAGACTTCTCCAAATCCCTTGTTATCCAGGATAAAGTTTTGGACTTATCATAGAAAATACTAACATGTTCTAGTATCTCCTCATGCAATATTTACAAGCGACTAGGGAGTGAGGCCGCAGAAGGTAAGCAAAGCCAAAAACCACCTTACCTCGGGGGCCAAGCAATGCCTTGAAATAGGTACTAAGTGATGCATCAAAATGTTCCATTTTAAAACCTATTAAGAAAAAAAAAAGATACTGATTAATCTCTACTCAAAATGTTTTTTATACAATATTTTTTTCATAAAAGAATAAATTCTTTTCAACGAATATGCCACGGACAAAGTTCAGTTCAGTTCCATAGGTTAAAAGAATTTTTTTAATTCACAAAAGTGACTTCTGTGCTAGATCTCAGTTGAAGAATAAAAGGAAAGACATGATTCTGTGAATTCACTTTGTAAATGAAGTGCCAGTTTTCTGAATTTCTTTTCTCAGTTCCATAAAAACTCTTGCCGTGAAGCTGAAATCTCAGTGGGGAAAAAAGTGGAACTCACTGGAATGAGAGGTGGCAGACAGGAAAAGATCCTGTCTGGGCAACAACTGAGGACTTGAGGTAAGACAAGAAAGAGCCATATCAGGGAACAGAATGCCACAGTGATGAGACAGTTTTTTCCGCTTGTTACTTTTATCACTTATTATTTTACAGTACTTCATGTCTACAGTAAAAAACTTCAAATATTAAAAATGAAAAAAGGGGCAAAAATCTCATTACTTCCCTCAACCGCAATCACCAAGCCATGCATCACAAGGAACCTAATGGTAACATTTCTTCAGCATACTTCCAGCGATTTCTCCTCTTTTGAGCACAAAGAGGTCATGCTAATGGATGTTTTCACAATTGTGGGTTGCAACCCATTAGTAGATGATCATGTCAACTTAGCATTAAAAATAATAATTGATCATAATAAAGAATCAGAATGCTTTGCTCTTAGTGAGAATGAATATAGTTTCATAAAACTTTAGTTTTGTTATATCATATTTGTAAGTATAATATACTCAGCTGTGATGTAAAATATATTCTTACTGTGGGGATCACAGTTAAAAAAAACTTAAAAAAACACTATTATATATAGAAGTGTGTATATATTACTTGCTTATTTTCACTTAATAAAACATCTTGGAGATACCAGTTAAAGATTTACCTCCATCTTCTAAGATTCTGTAGCTCCCAACCTTTCCCAATTTAAGATTTATATTTAGAGGGTAGCTAATCAACTTTTCATAAGCATACTGACTAGATTTTCTATATTAAAGACATATATTTTCAACTTTCCTGGCCATTGTTCTTACAGGAATAATCATCAATATTATAACTTCCAAGGGCAAAGGCAGAATTGATTTTATTAACTAAGCTCTTAATCATTTAGCAACACTTCTCTTCCTTGGCTTGCGACACTGAAGCGTATGTATTCTCTGGCTAATTTTAAATTACTTTATCCATGAAATTATCTAATGGTTGTAGTAGTTACAATTAAGTCATTCCAGATAAGAAGGGACGTAGAGACAGGAGGAGCCATCAATGACACTTTCAAAGTAGTTAACAGGGTTCTCTCCTGACAGCTTTCCTGCCCAAGGGGGATTGGGGAGGGTGCTGACACCAATTCATGGCTGGAAATGAAGGCACCAGCTCCCCATCTGTCCCATCTGCCAATAACCCGGTCAGCCACCTTTGCCTCTCAATAATTACACAACCTTGGCACAAGGTCACTTCTGCAATCCAACAATTAAAATTTTAACATACAGTAGTCCCCTCTTAATCCAGGGTTTTGCCTTCTGAGATTTCAATTACCTGCAATCAACCACAGCCTGAAAATACCAGGTGGGAAATTCCAGAAATAAACAATTCGTAAGTTATAGATTGCACACTGTTCTGAATAACGTGATGAAATCTCCTGCAGTCCCACTCCATCGTGCCTGGGAAGGGAATCATCTCTTTGTCCAGCGTATCCTCACTGTAGACACTTCTTCACCCTTGAGTCATTTTGTAACCTTCTGGGTTATCAAATCAACTGCCTCAGGATCGCAGTGCTCATGTTCAGATAATTTTTATTTTACTTAATTGTTCTATTTTATTATTGTTGTTGTTAATCTCTTACTTTGCCTAATTTACAAAGTAAACTTTATTACAGGTATATATGCATAGGAAAAAACCCACTATATACAATATAGTGTTTGGTACTATCTGCAGATTTAGGCTTCCATTCTAGGGGTCTTAGAATGTACTCCCTGACGATGAGGGGGTACTAATGTACTGTATTCCTAAGAAAGGCCATTTTTGTCCTAAGCCATCTTCCTGCCCTAGATTGAACCACTTCAGGAGAGACAAGAAATTCTAGAAAATCCTGGTGCTGAAGAGAACAGGTTTAGCCTTACGTTTCGTAAAGAGAATTCCTCTTTAAAACACACTTAAATAAGAAATGTTTTATCTTTTAAAGGCTATAAAAGTTCTGCCCGAGGTGGGTTCAGGAAGGGCACTGGCTAAAAGATAATTTGGCTATGTCTATTTTTTCAACATCTATTGAAAATCATCTAGAAAATCCAAGTTTTGGAAGACAACCATCATGATTTTGTGACATTGAAATCACACTAACACAATTTAATTTCATCTATGATGTATGGTGGGCCATGTATATCAAGGTCACAGGGTTCCCTGCTCCCCACTGGCTGCATCCCAAACAGCCAAATGAAAGGAAGTCAGAAGGAACAAGGTCATAAAGGCTATGACTAATGGACTGAATAACCGATGGACAAGCTGCTCACTGGGGACAGATACCTTCCTCCAAGGCATTTTAAAACCTAGATTCTATTACCTAATGGGTAATATTAACTTACTTACTTATGGGTCATATTAAATGTACAATAATCAGGTATTAAGCATGAAGGGACTTTAAGCAGGTTCAATGCTAGACTCTTTGTAAGAAACTAGGGTTTGAAACCCCTCCATTTTTTTTCACTTATTAGCAACGTGACCTTGGACAAGTTATTTAATCTTTCTGAAAAATGGGGAAAAGACCAAAGTAACTGCCTTTAAGTTTAAGAAGATTAAATAAGGTAATATAAATAAGGCCCTTACAGCAGTGTCTGGCATGTAGGAAGCCCTCAATAGATGTTTCTGAATGTATGTCTGCCACAGGATTGGCTCCATGATGAATACTGTCAACCACCCACGGCTGTCTCTGCTTCTCAGCAGGGGCACTGCTGGCATTCCAGTGGAAACAATCAATGTCCTGTGCATTGTGGATCATTAATTGTCCTTGGTCCCTGTCCACTAAATGCCATCAGTGAGCCCCAACCATTCTGACAACCCACAATGTCCACTTGTATGTCCTAACACACCCCTAGAGAGACAGCAAGAGAAGGGGGGGACAAGGCAGGGGTGGGGGGGGGAGCTGATAATATATCAAGAGAGGAACTTGTCAGAAACAAGATATTACCCAACCATGAAAGACAAAACTAAAAGGAATGTACTAATTAAATACACAAATATCTAGCACCTACTGTATATTAATACAAAGGATTGCCAAAATAGGGATAAACATAAAGGAGCATACCTGGTGACCTAGAAAAAATCAGACATTCATAACGGGGAAAAGAGTCAGATACAGTAAAGCAAAAACAAAATCCAGTTTGCAAATGAGCAGACAGTAGAATGATGCATACGAATATAAGCTGAATATATGTTTAAAACCATGCTGTAACAAAATTCAAACGACAGTATTCTGAGATCAAACAGGAGGAATATGTCTAACAAAAATAAGGGAATCAATCATTTCACTTTTTAATTAAGAGATCTTTCAGAGGGCTGTAGCCAGGGTCAGTTTCTATGTAAGGAGGAAATAGAGAAGCTGGAAACAAGAGTGAAGAAATGTTTCAAAGTGAAAATACAGATTGGTGGGGCAGGAGTGGAGAGGGATAACAGCAGTGGCCCCGGAAAAATATGAAGCCCAGGAATTGCGATAAATGACCTATTACCATAAGGACAAATGCCTAGGACATAGTCCAGTTTGAGAATCTAGGCTAACATCATGGCAACAGAAAAGCAGCTTGATTAAACATAAGGTAAAATTTCAGTCCAAGAGTACTGAACCAGCAGCAGGCTACCAAAAGAGACTGTGGAATTTAGTATTTGGAGATATTGAAGAATCCTGTTACAAGCCATCTGTCCCAAATAATCTGAGTCTAAACCATCTTGAACAGAGGCCCTGCGGAAGCTGGCAGGCACAGGAGCACTCTTTCGACTTTATAAAATGAAACGTGTTCTCTACAAAAGCACATGCAAGAAACAATTTTTGTCAAAAACGGTACATCTGTTCTTAGATTGCATTTCTTCTCGGCTTGAGAATTTTTCTCCTAGGTTTGCAGAACTTTTCACAATCAAACTTAGGAATATACTGAAATAGCCAGCAAAACATTCTCTAAAAGAACAGATACATGGGAGGAAATTATAATTTTCAAATTATTGTTCCTGCTTATTGTTTCTGAAATGACTACAGTGAAAAGGGAGAAGGGGTAGGTAGAGGTAGCCCCTGGACAACGGGCCCTATCAGAAGAGTCCTGATCCGTGGATCCCAAGCTTGATTCTGGGCTGGACTCTGGCATGTTTAGTATTTTCCCCAAACTCTCCCCTATGACACCCAGAATTGGATACATACTGTAATCTTCTCAGGCAAGGCTGCTTGTTTCTGCACAGGTTACTAAGAGGCATCTTCACCAACAGCTTCATCATTTACTCAATACAACGCCATGTTTGCCAAGGCAGCCCCATAACTAGTGTCCCTCAATACCATGTACTCACTTTTCATTCATACCACACACTTACCAAGTGCCTGCCACCCGCCAGGCATGGAGGCCCGAAGGCCCTGGGATTGCAGCCTGGCGAGAAAGACCATAAACATATACTAATTACAGACAGAAACACATGTACAATATGATATGCAAAATAACTGTTAGCAAGAAAAAATAAAGCAGAATAAAGGGGCTGGAATCATGGAGTGGGAATTTATTTTTGAAAACATAGAGAAGGCTGCCTGAGAAGGTGGCAACAGAGCAGAGCCTGAATGGTGACACCAAGCCACAGGCCTACCAAGGGAAAGGGTGTTCCATTTAGAGGCACAAATGAGCACAATGGCCCTGGGGCCATGGCTAGGCTGGCAGGCACAAGGACCAGAGGCCACGA